TCTTCTTCTTCTTCTTCTTCTTCTTCTTCTTCTTCTTCTTCTTCTTCTTCTTCTTCTTCTTCTTCTTCTTCCCACCACACCTGTTCACCTGTTCTTTGTGATAGGGTCTCATTAACTTTGCCCAAACTAGCCTTGAATCTCTATCGATTATCAACATGTGCCGTATAGCTGGGATTATAGTTACTAGCCACCATACCCAACTCTGTACACTCTTTCTACCTTTCAGGTCAAGACTCATATCAATGGACAAGGTGCTGTGGTAGCACTGGGGTATTTCTGACATACCATTGCTTATTAACTACATCCCTGTGTCTTCCTCATTGCCAATTTAAGGATAAACTGAAAGAACATTTTTGTGTCAGATGACTATAGTTTTTTCTCCCTTTTTTTCAGCCCATGTACTGCACATTGTATTCCATTCTTTCCCAACTATTATATGTTTCCTTCATTAAAATAAGTAATGTAGAGTCTCCAATTACACTGGAAATTTTCCATTCTCAATCATTGGCATGCCTCTTGGATGTTCTCTCTTCAGATTTTGCATGAATTAAAATGATGAAGACCCTGACCTGAAGTCTTTCCAATGCAGCAGTGACTCAGATTTCAAACTTGCAAAATAGTTTCCAAATGACAGGTGGCTGTCATCCGTGAGTTCCTAGGATATGTAATAGTTGAGCTCTGACTGATTTACTCCAGGCACCAAATCATTTGTAAGTGAAGCAAGCTAGTTCAAGAAAGGCATACTATCTTCAAGTCATTCTTCCCATGTGAGAAAATTTCAGCATGAAATCTGAAAGAGTTCAAATCACGTTTTCCCTTGATCATAACTCTTCCAAGTCCAACTCACAGGAACCAAAGATAGCTGTGGTGGCGGGAACTGTGGTGCCTGCACAGTGATGATCTCAAGATATGATCCCATCTCCAAGAAGATCAGGTAGCCTTCCTCCAAGACTAAACCATGTCACTGACTCCAGGTTGATTTCCCACAGGATTTCCTCAGCCCATTCTGTAGAGAATGCTACACTACCTCAGTTTTTATGAGCTATAACCAAAATGAATAATCTTATATGTTTGGTACTTGAAGAAAGAAGTACAAGATTGCTCTGAATCCTCATTTTACAAATGAAGGAAACTGAGATTCTAAGCGAGTCTGTTCTTTTACCAAGGTCATAGAACTACTGAGTATTAAAGCATCAGTTCAAGCCAACCCATTTTTAAAACCTACAATTCTTATTATGAAGTACTCCCCACCCAGGAGAACTTGGAAGGCTGCTGCAATACCCTCCTTCCTAGTATCCCTCTTGAAGAGATGACCAACTTCAGAGCCAGGCTCAACTCTTTCATTGCCATGGTCCTCCTGAGGGGAGCACTAACCCTCACATGCACGAATGCTCAGAGCATTTGGGAAAAGCCTACTGGTCCCCATTACTCATGATGTACTTTTGCCCTAGCACTGGAAACCAAACAAAGTACTTGTATTCATGGAATAGGTAAAATTATTAAAGGATTTTCCTCACAGGTGGGTCTTATTTAACATCTTCCCCAGCCCTCAGGGCTGTTTATAAGATCACAGGTAACCTGTATTGAAGAGTAAGCCACTGATTACATGATTTTACACACACACACATACACACACTACCTCTGGAGACACAGCTCCATTTTCAGGGTTATTTTGGAGGTTAATTGGAGATAAGTGTCTCACAGACTTTCCTGCCTAGCCTGGCTTCAAACCTCAATCCTCAGATCTCAACCTTCTGACTACGGTACCTAGGATTACAGGCATGAGCTACCAGTTCCTGGCTGCTCTTACATTTTTAACAGGATTGCCTGGATGGAAAAAAAAATTGAATTCTTAATTAGAATATTTAAGTAGCACATTTATATTCACAATCTTTTATGTGATGATTCAGCTTTATGTTCATGTCAAAGTAATTACAATTATGATCATCTATTTTTTCTTTTTTCCCCTCACATTGTTTTGGTCTATGCAATTTATTCTTGCTCTACTGTGTGTGAACTTTGAAGTCACTTCTCTGTTGCCGCCTGCCTGGTGCCTATCTGCTCTCTTTATGGAGCCGCCATCACCACTGTGGAAGGAATAGGAAACACTAAGACCAGGATTCACCCTGTCCAGGTAAGAACATATTTTAACACATAAAACTGAGACTTATGTGTCTTCTTTGGTTGTCCTTAGCTTATAGTTTTAGAGAACAAAATAGCGGGTGAAGTCTCTGTCCTCTTCAGAAGAATAAAAAGAACCCTTTTCTTAATGTTAGTTTTCTTCTGCAGCTTTCTTTATCATGCTTTGAAGCTTACTAAACTGTTCTAAGAATGTGGCAGAAGTGGTCAAGAAGAAAGTGACTCCAGGCAGGCCTCCATCTATTCCCACCATGACCTCAGGAAGGCATTGTGGTTTCAGGACTGCTTTGGGTCCATTCAGAAAGATATAGAATATTTGTTTTTGGTTTCTGCAATAAAAAAGGGGAAAAAAGTTTGGATGTGCATTTAATATTTTGTCTGTACTAATAGCCAGGCTGCAAATTCTAGTCATATATGATGCATATCTCCAAAATTAAGATGCAAACTCTTTGAGGGCAAAGATGATGTCTTATTCTAAAATACCTTAAGAGAATTTGGGTTTATAGAGATTACTGAAAGACTACTGAGTAACAAGCCAGAGAGGAGGCCTGGTTGCCCTCTGCCTCCCAGGAAGCCTCCAGAATCTCAAAGGCACACATGTAGATCTCTGAGACAAGTTTTTAACACATATAGTACCAACTCACTAGTAAAAATGTTGACACATAAATGAAATTTAGTTACCTGTCAAGGGTACCTACCAAGGTCAGCTGCCAAGGTCAGAACAAAAAGTAAGAAGGAAAGATAGGTTCTATTTATGGAGACGAGCCTACACAAGGAAGTTCTCCATGTTGTTATGCTGCATGTGTCAGAGGTGAGTGACAAGTGGTAGCTGAATGAGGACAGGACCAGATAAAAGTGGGTCGTTTCAGCTGGTGCCAGTGGCTTAGGCCTGTAATCATCACTATTCAGGAGGCTGAAATCTGAGGATTGCAATTCAGAGCCAACCCAGGGAAGAAAGTCTGTGAGACGCTTTTCTCCAATTAACCACTAGAAAACCAGAAGTGGAGCTGTGGCTCAAAGTGGTAGACTATTAGCCTTAAGCTAATAGTCCTGAGTTCAAGCCTCACAAATGACACCCCCCACCTGGAAAAAAAGAAACCTAAAAAGTAGTTAATTTCTGTTTCTATTTTTGTCGGTTGTGGGGCCTGAACTCTGGGCCTGGACGCTGTCCCTTACCTCTTCAGCTCAAGGCTACCACTTGAGCCACAGTGCCACTTCCAGTTTTCAGAGTGGTTTATTGGAAATGAGTCTCACGGACTTTCCTGTCCAGGCTGGCTTTGAACCGCGATCCTCAGATCTCAGCCTCCTAAGGAGCTAGGATGACAGGTATGAGCCACCGGCGCCCGGCTGTTTCTATCGTTTTGATTGGCTTTGAACTGTACCCTGGGAAGTAACGTACCAGGTTGTCATTGAGCACTTCCTTCCTCAACTATCTCGATTAAGTCTTTTCAAGAAAGCTTCACTTTGCATCATAAATGTGATCAACAGCACTACTGGTTATTACCTGACAGGCCCTGTACCACGTGTAGTCAGAGAAAACGCTTCTGCTTCTTTTCTGAAGGGTCCTACACCTGAATTTCATGTTCTTTAGGAAAGGATCGCCAAAGGCCATGGCACCCAGTGTGGATTCTGCACCCCAGGCATGGTGATGAGTATTTACACTCTCCTAAGGAATCACCCACAACCGTCCACAGAGCAGCTAATGGAATCTTTGAGTGGTAAGCCACGAACCTCCTTAATTGTAGAAAGTTTATTCCCATCCCTAAAAAAGGACCAGGGATGTTAGAGCCTTCCGTGCAAGGAACTGGGCCAGAGGATATGACTGAAATGTGCTCCTTGACCCTTATGATCTATACTTCTTACATAGTATCCAAGTGCTGTCTATCCTTATTCAGCAGGAGGAGAAACTAAGGCACCCAGCCTCACTAAGGAAGTAAAGTGAGTTTCCCATGTGGAGATTACATGGTTGGTTGTTTCTGGTAACTGATGTATTATATAAAATTGAGTACAAATACTTAATTGAAACAGTCTGTGTGGGTGTGTTTGATGTGCCTGCAATTATATTGAAATAGTATTTGGAAATATTAGGACTTCAATTATACACTTAGAATTAAGCAAAAGAATCAGTGACCTTGGGATTGTTTTTGTGGTGTTTTGTTTGTGTTTGTTGTTGTGGCTGTTGTGCTGCAGTTGTTATTCAAGTATAATTAATTCTCACAGAATCACAGACTCTTAGAATTGATAGGGAAATTGCTTGTGATTCAGACACAAGAATTTGATTGAAATGGCTTCAAAACTTTTAAAGTAGTATTTCTCCTTCTTTGTCCTTTTTGGAACACTTTTATTCTTTAAAAAAAATTTTACAGGGCTGGGAAGGTGGCTCAGTGGTAGAGCGCTTGCCTTGCATGCATGAGGCCCTGGGTTTGATTCCTCAGCACCACATAAGCAGAAAAAAAGCCGTAAGTGGCCCTGTGGCTCAAGTGGTACAGTGCTAGCCTTGTGCTGAAGAGCTAAGGGACAGCACCCAGGCCCAGAGTTCAGACCCCCACGACCAGACCCCCCCCCCAATTTTTGTTTACATAAATGGGCATTCTAGCTTGCCAAAGAACGTAATTTCTATTCTGATATCTGGAAATCTGGTAAACATTACCTCTGTCTTTATGCAAGTTGTCAGCTAAAATATTGAACAGAGTAGGTTAAGCGAAGAATTAAAAGAAAATTAATCAATGATGCTAACACCAAACTATCGCTTAATCAAGAATCATTTTTAAAAAATAATCATGTATTTGCCTTCTACTCCTCTCCACCAACTGATATGGTCCAATGCCTCCTGAAGTCCTGATACATTGTGCTGATTGCTTTGAGCAGATTGTTAATCCAAGTTTCTCATCCCCAAAGGAAAGAGGATAGCTTTCTTGAGTACCCAATCTCTTCTTAGGGACTACTGTTCCCAGATTCTTTCTGTCTTCAGTAATCCAATTCAGAACAGACCCAAAGAATTGCTGGAGAGAGGTCAACTTCACCTTTTTTATCTACCCGTTTGTTTGGTCTTTGGTAGTACCAAGATTTGAATGCAGGCCTTATGCTTGTTAGCAAAGTATTCTACCCCAATCTCTTTTTTATTTTGCTTTAGTTATTTTTCAGAAAAGCTTTTTGCCTGGGGCTGGCCTGGGGTTGTGATCTATCTATGCCTCTCAAGTAACTGGGATTACAGATGTACACCACTACTCTTAGCTTATTGTCTAGGCTGTCCTCAAATCTCAGTCTTCCTAATGTTGCCTCACAAGTAGCTTAAAGTGGAATTAGCCACGGAACTTTGCCTACCATCCATCTTGTTTTAAAAAAAAAACAAACAGAACCAAGCTGGGTGCTGGTGGCTCATGCCTACAATCCTAGCTACTCAGGAGGCTGAAATCTGAGGATCATAGTCCAAAGACAATTTGGGCAGGAAAGTCTATGAGACTCTTATCTCCAAGAAGCTGTCAAAATGCTGGAGGTGGAGCTGTGGTTCTAGTGATAGAGTGCTAGCCTTGAGCACAAAAGCTCAGGGACAGTGCCCAGGCTTTGAGTTCAAATCCCAGGACTGGCCCCAAACAAAATCCACCAGAATCAATGGTTGCCTGTCTCTAGTATTCTGGGACTGCTTTTGTTTACTATGATATCTAAAAAAGATTATTGATCATCTCAGCTACAAGTTACTTTCATGTCATGAGGCATTTTAAAAGGCTAAGTGCAATTTAAAAATCTCCATGTATCTTGAACTTCAGAGCTTTTTAGCTAGGCTTATCTGGTGCTTTTAGTTTACCAGGCATTCCTTTGGTGAGCAATATGGTAACAAAATAGGAGTGACGAAGTTCTCTCCATCATCTCTGAACAATGGATTTGTTCTCTTTTTTTAAATATGCATTTTGTCATTGATTGTATTTTGTACAAAATCTCAGCCTGGCACTTAGCCAATCTGCCATTGCTCTGGGCCACACTGTTCCCTTCGTCTCCAGTTCTGTCTCATGGCTTCCGTCATCTCTTCATCTTGTTTCTTCATTTTTGCTGGTAAGAAAGCAATCTGATTACTGCCCTCCCTTTATTTCTTCCTTTTCTGCAGTCCTATCTTCCAAACCTCATCTCTGGACCCTTCCATGCTCTGTGTACTGTTTTGTTTCTTCACACACTGTTCTTTTTAAACTTGGCTTCTTGCGCACTGTGTCTTTGAAGTAGAGCCAGAATTCTTCAGAGAGACACTCTGACCTAACATCTTGCTACTTTCACATCATGGCCAAGTGATCCGCTTGATAGCCTTAGTTCATTGTGGCAGCATCCTAATTTGGAGAATTTTTTTTTGCCTTTCCCCCCCTTACACGATACTTTCGCAGCTGTAGTCTTCCTCGGTTCCCATTTTTAACCATCCTTGTATAAAGAAGCTCCAGTCACACCTTTTGTTGAGGCTGCTTTCCTGTGATGTCCAACTCCCTCCAGGAATTAGATGCTAGTCCAACTGGTAGGGTGAAGTTGTGGCTCAAATGCTTTCCCGAACCAGAGCTGAAGCTCAGTGTTCAAACAGACCCAAGAACCAAAAAGGAAGCTGGATTCAGGGAATATCTTGTTCAAAATGGAGAGACTAGAACATTTTAGCATTTTGTTGAAAATGGAGAAACTAAAAGCAGATATCAGAAGGCAAAGAAGGTTCAGAACCAGAGACTCTTAAGTCTAGCAAATTGATAAGCGTATGGTATACACAGGGGAGGATTCCAATGATATAACTTCTTTGAAGACCTAACTTACCGTTTTTAATAAAATGAATACCAAGATGCTGAAGCATGTTTTGGTAGAGGTGAGTGAGGGCAAGGCAAGGGGGACAGATGAATAGAGAGAGGAAGGTGGTTGAATACAATCATAATATGCAATGTACTTACGTGAAAATGGAACCAGGTAATTTAAGAGGATGGATAGGGTGGGGACAGATAAGGGAGAATGGTGGAAGGGATGACATTGATCAAATACATTGTACTCACAAACTGACATATTGAGTTGAAATCCCTTTGTATAGCTATTAGAAGATAACCTGAAGATGATCCATTAATTAATAAAGAAATAATCAAGTTTAGACCAGTAGTAGCTACTCAGGAGATTGAGATCTGAAGGTTATAGTTGAAAGCCAGCCTGGGCTGTTAACTCTGAGAGACACATCTCCAATTAACCAGCAAAATTACAGAAGTGGAGGAGGTTCAAGTAGTAAAGCACTAGACTTTGTGGGGGGGGGGGGGAGGGGAGGACAAGTAAGATGACAAGCCTCTGAGTTCAAGCCCCAGTACCTCCCCACCTCTACATGCACACAAATAGTAAGTTTAAGAAAAGTAGGAGTGAATCTGGACCATTACCTGCAGCAAGCATTGCCGTCCATGAGTGATGAATAAAAGAACCATAGGTCAGGCTAGGAAGGCCTCAGCACCACATAAACAGAAAAACCCGGAAGTGGCCCTGTGGCTCAAGCGGTAGAGCACTCGCCTTGAGCTGAAGAGCTGAGGGACAGCGCCCAGACCCAGAGTTCAGGTCCACGACCTGAACTTCTCACCAAAATGGTCTCTTTCTTTCCTGTGAGTTCCTGGATTTCTTCTCAGATATATACTTTGTGATCATATGGCCTCTGTCTCTTTTGTTCTTTTTCGTCTTTTAACATTGCCAGATCCCATGATTGGATCTCATCTCTCAAAGCTTTGGGGATATGTGTCAGACATCAGTAGCCTTATTACACCAAAATGGCAAGTTTTCTGTTTAAAAGTTTGCGCCTGGACATCTAGATACCACCATGATAGGCACTTTTCTTAAGTATATCACTCGATGGTAAATACTGGGTATGTGCCAGTTGTAGAGAAACTGATTACAGAGTGGTAAAATTACTGCCCAAGATTGTATAACCAATGAATGAAAGAGCCAAGATTTGAAACCTGACAGTCTGGTTATAGAATCCATGTTCTTATCTACCTTATATGAAAATTATTATTATTCTAAGACCATTTTTTTCCTAGTCATTTTTTTCTGGAGATGTAACAAGACTTCTTTTACCACCAGTCCTTTTCCCCAATATAAGTACTATCCCCTTTGATTTCATAGTCATCTATGAATATTTTGGTTTCCTAACTCTTTCTTTCTCTAATTTAATTATGTTCCCTTCTAGAGTCCTTAATGGCTGCTAACTGTATGCTGAGTAACCCGATAGGCTTTCAACTTGGGAAAAATCATCCCTGAACAGAGATTCTAATTTATAATTAGCTAATGTCTTTAGGGGATCAATGACCCCACACATTTTGTGTGTATGGTCACAGAAAAGAAATATCATCAGATTCTCAAATAATCTATGACCTCCTCTCCCTTAAATAGAGCCAATAGAATAAAAGGACACAGAAATAACGAGAGTACAGAAACACCTGATTAGATCAAGGTCTTGTATCCTGGACATGCTTTCTATAAGCAGTATTCCTTCGGTCTGTCAGTGTCAGCAGCAGTTCCTTTGATAAGAACACCATCTAGTGCCTGTCAAAAACCGAAAAAGAGTTGAGATTTCATCCTGCTTACAAGCTGACAAGTACAGTCTGGTACAGTTTGACAGCTTCTGACAGAAGACCCAGGACTTTATTACTCATCATGCTAGTATAACAATAGTAGGAGCATTTGTCACCGCTCCTTTAAGGCAATATAAAGAGAGCAATCTGATGCCAGCGTGGTCATTGGGCTATATTTACAGGAGGGGAACCCTGACTTCAAGGCACTTGTCCTTTGAAATGGGTGGTAAGGCTCTCAGAGGTGACTGAATCCATATTACCCTAGAAATCACCATTCCTGCCCATTTGTCTTCATAAAGGCACTGCCTGTCTTCCAAGGCTCTTCACTCTATGAGCATCCTTGAACAGAAAGTTCTGGGCCAAAAGCAGTCAGTACTCTGCTCACAAGATGTGCACATCCTAGCATGTGACTTGGATCCCTTTACAGAGGCTTTCTCTGTCTTCTCTTCACTGATTTTTCTGTTCTAAAAATTTTCTAAGAATAAACCCCAACCAGACACTGTAATCCTTGCTACTCAGGAGACTGAGATCTGAGGATCAAGGTTCAAAGCTAGCTCAGGCAGAAAAATACATGAGATTCTTTTCTCCAATTGAACAGCACAAACCTGGAAGTAGAGGTGTGACTCAAGAGGTACAGTGTCCAAGCAAGACCTCAAGAGCTCATGACCTGAATTCAACCCTCCATACCAGTACTCCAAAATAAAGAGTACACTCCAGAAATGTATCAGAAATAACATCTGATGACTTTATGTCCGTGTACTGTGAGATTTATGACTTGGGGGGTTGGGGCAGTGTGAAGGAGCAGTAAATGAGAGCTAGCATGAATGAGGCAGACATTTCAAATGTAGAGAAATTGGGTTTCATTTGAAACACTCTATTTCTTTCCACCCAGGCAATTTATGTCGCTGTACTGGATACAGACCCATTGTGGAGAGTGGGAAAAGTTTTATTTCCGTGAGTATAAAGTAACTAGCAACTGCTGAGCCAGCAGTTCTAGTTTAGTAGCAAAGCATTAGCCCCCATTCTGTGTGTCCCCCTCAATTGGTTTCAAAGAAAAGCATAGTGCTGGCCCATCAAGGAGAAAGGTCTGCCATTTTGCTCATCTTGGTAAACATAACTAGGGCTTTTTTTTCAGACACGTAGACAGGTAGCAGCCCTGTAATAGATTTTTTGAAGGCAGAGTTTATAAAATAGCACACTCTAAGTGAAAATAGATTAGACCAATCCTCCTAACATCTTACTTTATGATAGGGAAAAAAAACCAGGAAAAGTTATTTCTCATACTGTCACTTCAGCAAGCACATTTTGTTGAATCATAGCCAAAGTGGAACATTTTCAGCAAATAAATGCTATGTTCTTTCTGAATGTGCTTCCCTCTGATTAATACGCTGGTGGTTGATGGGGGAGAGCAGAGAAGCCATTTCCATCTTTCACATTGTTTGGAATCAATCTCCACCAAGCAACCTGCACAGAGCATCAGCCTTAACCCTCTCCATACCCATGCCCTCTGAAGTCCCTTCACTCAAGATACACAGTGTTTTCCCACATTCCAACAGAACACTTCTAACACCAGATATGTGGCTTATTCCACACCTAGCAATTCCCCAACTCTCTGGACACCATCAGGGTGTCTTACAATTTAAGCCAATTACAACATTGACCACCTGGAGTTAGTGTCACAGCCCACAAGTTGAAGTTTCAATCTCACATGATTTCCCTTGTCTCCATCCATCAGTTGCAAGTGCCAGCTTCCTGTATGTCTCACCTACCAACAACCAATCAGGAGTCCCCTCACCCCCTGCCTCGGGTTCCATCATTGGTTACAATGGCTCATAGAAATCAAGAAATAATCTTAAGTTTGCTGGCTTATTCTGAAGACTACTATAAAGGAAACAGATGAAGATCTGTATAGAGTAAGGTCCAGAAGGGTCCAGAGTCTTGGAGTTGAGGTAGATCAGCATACAGATACAGTCACCAACTCAGAATCTCTTCAACTTCTTTTGCAAGAATTCCATCTCAATAGATTGAATTCCATCTCTAGCCCCTATCTGCCCAGATGAAGGTAGGTAGGACTGAAAGTTCTAGCTCTCTGATCACTTGGTGTTTCCATTGACTAGCATCATCCTGAGACTTTCTATAGTCCCAGCCTAAGACACCTCATAGGATAAAGCCAAGCATAGTCAAAAGGGACTCATTATGAATAATGAAAGCTATGTGGGAGGTCAGAAGAATTTCAAGATCCCTGTGAACTTGGGGCATAAACCAATTTTGCTTTTATTATACTACTCTCTTCTACTTTCTTCCCCCCACCCCTCTCCCCAAAAGCCCTGTTATAGCAAATATCAAAGAAAGACTATATGAAACCTTCCATAATAAAAAATCAAATGGTTTTCTTGTAAAGATATACTTCATAAACTACAGAAATAATATATCCAGAGATGTATGAAGTCTTGGATTCTTTAAAAGAAATGGAAATGTGAGAATAACTTAAATTGGTGACAAAAGGGGGCATGCAAAAATGACCAAATCAAAGATGAACGATGGAAACTAGAGAGCCACGTGAGCAAAGTGGTCATGTTAGCATGTAAAACATTTATCACTCTGTGGAAAACTTAACAAATGTTACTACTACCACCTATCTGAACTGGAGAAATAAAACCAATGGAAAATACTGTATTCATTTGTTTGCTGATTCCTTTTCAAGTCATTCACTCACTCATTCACTGCTTTAAAAGTACAGACTCTAAGTAGCTCCCATTGTCACCTATACTTCCATTTCCTGAAGAGTTTAAACGCGATTTAATTCATTCTAATGATCTTAGTCACTGAGTCAGATGAGCACAGAGATAAAAAATGGGCCAGTGTTAAGTGCAGGGCTCTTGGACTGGGAAGCAGGAAGAATTCTGAAGTGAGGCCTAATCCCAAACAAGTCTGAGAACAAATCCAATGTGAGCCTTTTTTCTTCCCTCTTTTACCTATATTAGCTCCCTGTAGCTAACTGCTCATCATATGAATGCCTGTCCTCTCTGACCATAAAACCAGCTGTTCAATATCAGTGTCTTATCTGTAAAAGAATTAAAACGATATCATGTCTGCAAAGCATAAAGCATCATACTGGGCACATGATGAAGGCTTAACAAAACAGAAGCCACAATTAATATATTTACTACCACCATGCTCATCATATCTTTCATTTTTGGTCCAAGACCAGGACTCAAACTGATACTTTCTTTGGCTCATTGGCTGGGGCTCTACCACCTAAGTACAAGGCCAACCTCAGGGTTGGTTCTGTCTCTTTTTTCAACATATCTTTAGTCCAGTGTATGTTACTATAACAGAATATCATAGACTGGGTAATTAATAATAAACAGACATGTATTGGTTCACAGTTCCAGATTCTTGGAAGTTCAACATGGAGCACATCCAGTGAGAGCCTTCTGGCTTCATCACAGCATTGTAGAAAGCATTCAATGGTGGAAGAAAAAGAGACCATAAGGGAGAGGCAAAAGGAGACCTAACTTGTCCTTTAGGTAGCAATTCACCCCAGTTATAATGGCATTGGACCTCTTAGAGGCCCTGACTCCTAATTGTTACATTGGCAACTACATTTCAACATGATTTGGAAAGGGCAAACATCGATGTCCTAGCATATCAAATCCTCCTCCTTCTCTTTTCTATTATTTCACAACTCTATGATTCTCTGATTTTTCTATCCTTCTTTTCTTTTTATAGAGTTCATCTTGCTGCCAAATGAATGAAAAAGGGAGATGTTGCTTGGATCAAAAAGAAAATAAACCTGAGAACAAATCCAATGTAAGTCTTTCTTAATTCTTCAAGCCATTGCTACCATATTGTTGATTCTTCAGCTACTTTTTCTGTCACATTGGATTCCTGTGAGATCTGGTCAATACAGGGGCAAAATTTCCTAGAACTGTGGTCAGAACTGGCCTTGGTAGTCCTGGGGCAGACATGTTAGAAAGCCTTGTTTTGTTCTGAGCTGAGATGTGCTGTCCTGTAAGTTCCCCATGTAAACTAGCATGGGCTGAATCTGTCTTTCATCTGTGACACAGCTTTTCCCAGAGAGACAGCTTGCTGTGGCCTGCGTCTTTCTGTCTTCCTGTCTCTTTTCTAGCCAAGCTCTTCTGCGCTTGCCTCCCCTAATCCTTTCCTGTTCCTGAGACTCAAGATAACATCTCCATAAATGAGTCCCAAATCCTTTTCTTCTTCTATTCTTTTATCTGAAATTGATTGTGAGTTCCTTCTCCAACCCAACTCAGGGCACAGTTCCAAAAATCTCCCAAAATTACTTATAAATTGGGTGTCAGTGGCTCATGTCTATAATCCTAGCTACTTAGGAGGCTGAGATGTGAGGATCACGGTTCAGAGCCAGCCCCAGGCAGGAAAGTCCATGAGATTCTAATCTCTAATTAATCAGCAAAAAAGTGAAAAAAAATGGAACTGCGGCTCAAGTGGCAGCTTTCCACTCGAGTGAAAAAGCTAAGAACATTGCCCAGGATTTGCACACACACACACACACACACACACGTTATTTATAAAGCTTCTAAAACTTTTGATTGAGCTTCTTCTCTTGCTTTTTCTGAATTAGAGCCTCCTGTGAAGTGGCCTAGGACTCGCTCTGAGCTTTTACAAACCTCCCAGCAGGCAGAGGCAGTCAGTCTGCAGGCCAGGAATTGGAAACTACTGTAGACCACAGAAAAAATTATTTCCCAGAAACGCTGGCTCCAAAATGCTGAGTGGGTCCTGCTGGCTCCCAAATGCCATGTCAGAGCTAAAGCCTGCTTGAAAGGCTTCCCGTGGTCCGTATGTCCCATCTCCCCCTCCTCCTATTTGCTTCTCCCCTGGGTTCAAGGGAATTTGCCTGACCTCTTTCTGCACTTCATGAATAGCCTCCCTTAGGCGTCTGTGTCTCCATCTTTCAGGAGCTCTCACAGATCCTGGTCTGGGAAGCCAGGGAACTTGCTCTTTGCGCCACTCCAGGGCATTTGGCTTCTGCTGCCAGCTCTTCAGCTGGTCCCGGGGTCAAGCGCATAGTTGCCACTTTCTTTCTGCTTCCTGGCCCAGCTTCTCCAGGCTTTGCCAGCCAGGGTGGAACCAAAGGACTGGCCTATCTCATTGCTTTGATCCCCAGGCCCCAGTCTAAGCCTTTCAAAGAGAGGATACTCAATACTGAAAAGTTACCAAGCACCAAGGTGTTTATTGATCTTTGTCTCTGTTTTTGTTTTTTTTGCAAAGACTAAAACACAATTTTCTTTCTTAAGGTCTGTGCCAAATTGTATGAGAAAGAAGAATTTCAACCATTGGATCCAACTCAAGAGCTTATATTCCCTCCTGAGCTAATGGTTTGTTCTCTTTCTCCTGGCCTTCTCCTTGCCTTAGGGCCCTTTGGGGGAAGGAGGGAGGGGGGATGGAGGGAGGGGGGATGGAGGGAGGAGGGATGGAGGGGCTCCTCAAGTACTGTCAGGCTTCTGCCACCCTTGGCCTCCATGAGTAACTGTGCATTACTGTCACTCTCAGAGAGCTATGGGGCATGATTTTTGAAGACTCTGTCTCAGGTAGACTCAGAAGCTCCCTGGTCTTTCCTAACCTCAATGTCAAGGCAGCATGTCACATGATCATTCTGGTGTGTGTGTCTGTGTGTGTGTGTGTGTGTGTACTATACAAGGCATTTATTTTTTTTTAATTTAAGTAGTTGTACAAAGGGGTTACCATTCAGTATGTTAGCTCACAAGTACAATGCATCTTGACCAGAATCTCCCCTTTCTTCATTCTCTCCCTTCCCGTGGCCCAAGTATCTTTATTAAGTTCCCAGGAAAGTTCAGGATATACACTAAAGTCAGCAGGGCAGCTCCAAGCTCCCAGTCTCTTGTTCTCTATCAGCCAGCAAAGGTTAAACATTGATCTTTTAAAAATAAAACAAAACAATTCCTCTAGGCCTCCCTCGGTCACTCGGGCTTGGAATGAAGACAACATGAGCCACTGTTCTTCGATCCCATGAACTCTGCCTACCCGGTGTAGGGTTTCCACATGCCCCAGGACTGCCTCTTGGCCCACTCTGTGAGGGAAAGGCTGAAAGCTGGTTCTGACACTGTTGGCTCATCCAGAGAATCTTCAGATTCTCAGAGCCCTTTATACCTTAAAATTTATACTAGCCCTAAAGAGCTTTGTTCAGGTGGGTTATGTCTATTGATACTTGCAGTATTTGAAATTAAAACTGCAAAAAAAATAAATGAAATTTTTATTCATTTCTTTTTCTCTTTTCCTTTTTTGTACGATACTAGGCTTTGAGCTCAGCATCCTTGTGCTTGGCTATGCAGGTGTTCCACCTCCTGAGCCACACCCCAGACCTTTTTTGTTTTACTAACATCTTGCATTTTTCCCAGGTTAGCCTCCACCTTGATCATCCTATTTATGCCCCCAGCACACCTAGGATTACTAATGTGAACCTCAACAACCACTTTGTTTGTTGAGATGGCAGGCTCAGTAACTTTTTGTTTGGTCTAACCTCCAACCACAATCCTCCTAAATAGCTGGGATTATATAAATGGGCTTCCATGTCCAGCCTGCATTTATTTATTTCTTTAAAATAAAATAAGCTCATTAGAATAAATGGCATATGTTCATGAATAGTAACTGTATTTTTCCAAAGAAAAATCAGTGGAAAAGTGGCACTGTTTTAGATTTTGTAAAGCTCTTCAACACTGGCATAAGAGCAGGCAGCAAGATTCAGATATCTGCTCCTGATTTCCTCTGGTTGTATTGTGTAGCCTTTGTAAAACTCCACTATTAGACTCATAAAATAGCTTTGACCTTGGGGTTCCTAAAAAGGATTTCAGGGGCCTCCAGGAATCCTTGGGCTGTATTTTGAGAAGTGCTATCCTCACCTAATGAAAATACATGAATTATTTTATTAATCAGAGTTCGCCCATTCTCAAGGTCTTCCATTTCTCATGACTTAATGTAACCTTTACTGAATCTTTATGGAAAATGAAATGTGCATTTTAGCCAAGCTACCTTTAGTTTCTGTTTATTCCAGCAGCCTTTGCCTTGACTTCTGTTCAACATTGAAATCACTCAGTCTACAGAACCCTGGAAATTCTACCAAAATATTTTCCCTTTGGATGCTCCCACAGAGAGCAAAATAGTTTTTACGATAGCAAAGATGCTTTTGAAGTGAATTTCAAACACATTAAGCAATTCTGTTCCTGCTTAAGAAATGGTTCTCTTGTTTATTATTAGCCAGTAGAAATTGCTTAGTCATGCATCTCCAGATGCATGCCAGAATTTCACTTTCAGAGAACTCCAGGCAAGGAACCTTGAGCCCTTGATTCATTGTCCTGTTCACATTAACCATCTGTGGCACCTTGACCAGGCTACTCTCCCAATTTGGGAAGTGTCTTTTTCATTCCTGTAAAACTAGACTTATATTTCCCAGATTAGCTTACATGAAAGAGTAACTAAGTATCAGGGGTTTCCCTCAAATGTCGTATTCTTTCCTGACCACCCTATATGGTAACAACTCTAAGTAGCTTTAGTGGAATAGGAACAAATTTGAGACATAAGACAGTATTAGCGTGTTAAATGATCCCTGAATTGAATCAAAATGGAGAGCACAGACATCAAACAAAACCACAGAAGACCCCAGGCCTGTAACCCTAGCTACTCAGGAGGCTGAGATCTGAGACTCTCAATTCAAAGCCAGCCCAGAAAGGAAAGTTTGTGGGACTCTTATCTCCAATAAACTACCTATAAAAATCCAGAAGTAGAGCTATGGTTCAAGTGGTAAGAGTGCTATTCTTGACCAAACAAAGCTCAGCCTTGGCCCTGAGTTTAAGCCTCAGAACTGGCACAAAAATAAAGGAAGGAAGGAAGGAAGGGAAGGAGGGAGGAAGGAAGGAAGGAAGGAAGGAAGGAAGGAAGGAAGGAAGGAAGGAAGGAAGGAAGGGAGGGAGGGAGGGAGGGAGGGAGGAAGGAAGGAAGGAAGGAAGGAAGGAAGGAAGGAAGGAAGGAAGGAAGGAAGGAAGGAAGGAAGAGGGGAGGGAGGGAAGGAGGGAAGGAAGGAAGGAAGGAAGGGAGGGAGGGAGGGAGGGAGGGAGGGGAAGAGAGAGGGAGGGGAGGGAGCAAGAGTAGGAAGTAGGGAGAGAGGGAGCAAGGGAGAGGGAGAAACAGCAAGGGAGAGGGAGGGAAAGGAAGAAAGAAAAGAAGTAAAGGGAGATGAAAAGGCTGCTCTACTAAGTATGGTCAATATTTCTAAATTACCCTCATAAATATTTATTTCATTCTTGTTTATATCTGTGGCTACCTACCACAGTCATTGATTTTAGAGGAACTGATTAGAGAAAAATATAAAGAAGTTCTGTCCATTAGCTATTTTTGCTGATTAAGTCCCACGTGTAAACTGTACTGCTGAAATCTTTCAATCTTGTTTAGTAAACAGTAAAATCTGTGAGAAAAAGGTCCCACTGGCTTTGATAAATTGGACATTCTATGTTTTTTTACTGTATTTCCTAATCACATGCTTCAGTGATCTCTGAGAGCCAAAAGACCTTTCTAAGTCATCTAGCTAAAACTCCAATTTTCAACTAAAGTATGCCAGACCTAGCAAGGTTCAAACATTTTCCAGAATTTTCATCTGGCAACTTAGTGACTTGGCTGGAATTAGAACATGGGTCTTCTGTGTTTTCAGCATATGTAATAGCATTTGCTACACACTTAACCTGATAAGAAATAGCACACAGCTGTCAGACACAAAATAGTTCATTTTCCATGGATATTCTATCATTATTTGTCAATACTTATTTGACATTAGAAATCTCATCCCTGATGCATCCTTATTTCCTGTTTATTTCTATGTTAAGATTTAATTGAAATGCACATTGATTGATTAAGTTGTAAGAGATGAGAAGAGACATATACAATTCAGGGGGATTTAATTATAAATCGACTAAGTTGGCATGGTACAAGTGTCTTGTTTTAGTTATAGCAGGTCCTGTTCATTTGAGTTTGGTGGTCTGTAGTGAAATCGATGTGTTTTGTCACTGATATAATATTATGTCTCAATTTAAATACTGCAGAGGATGTTGGAGAATCCCCAAAAGAAAATTCTGACATTTCATGGGGAGAGGATTACCTGGATTATCCCAAGCACGCTAAGAGAGCTCCTGGAACTAAAAACAGAGTACCCCAATGCTCCTCTTGTAATGGGGAACACTGCTCTCGGTAGGTAGCAAACAGACTCCCATTCTACTTCCATATTGAAACCTAAATTCCTGAACTGGGGTGGAAGCTGTGGCATCTATTTACATATCAAAATCCTTACCACATAATTCAAATTCCCCCCCCTCACTCTTCTCAAGTGAGTGGCCAGTTTATCATGTAATTTCTCTGGCACCTAATGAGTAGTCTGGCCTGTCATTCCCACTGTAGAATGTAATTGGGTTTTTCTGAGGTTAAATTTTCTGTTTCTTCAACTAAAACAGATGTCTGTAGAGACAAAAATCAAAAAATGATTAGTAAGTCCCAATATGTGGGAAATTACTAAGGAAAAAGGTAACCTTCCTTTGCCTAGCTTTTTTAAAAAAATAAAATCTAGTTGGCTTCTTTCCTGCTAATCATAATTGTTCTCCCTTTCTTAGGACCTGACATGAAGTTCAAAGGTGTTTTCTATCCAATCATCATCTCCCCTGCAAGGATCTCAGAATTGTTGGCAATATCAAAGACAAAAGAAGGTGTGTTCTCTCTTGGTTACAATAAGGTCTGTGTGTTATAAACCATTTGCTTAAAGGAAACAAAAGCTATTTCATTTTACCAAATTGTATCCTTGGAGGAAATCATATTTGGCACTATTAGACTGAGCCACACTGATTTTTTTCAAATAATATCCTCTAAATACGGAAAATCCCATTAAAGACCATACATCCTCTTTAGAGACTCAGTTTTCTGCACAGATCTGGCATTCAACAAATGCTTTCAGGTCCAGCCATCCAGCTATCTGTAAGCTGTATCTTCCCTCACAAGCATATTCACTGGCAGATGGTCTATTCCTTCTCCAACTAGGCAGATCCAATTTCAATGACTGTCCCAAAGCTACGAGACAAGAAGGAGCATAAATCCATAAATCTTCCACCATCAACACACACACACACACACACACACACACACACACACACACATACACACACACACACACACACACTACAATTTAGAACTCAATGCTTTTGTTTGTTATGGTTTTTGTCCTAGGACTTGAACTCAGGGCCTGGGCACTGCCCCTGAGTCACTGAGCTTCTTCTTCTTCTTTTAACTCCATCAAACGACCATTTATGCAAAAGATTAAGAGATAAAATACAACACAGTAATTGATCGATGCCTAAGGATAATGGCCATTTGGTGGCAATTTGATGATACACAGGTGATTTCTGGATAGCTTGCTCAAGAAAACCTGTTCAAGGCTAATGCTCTACCACTTGAGCCACAGCTATGTTTTTAAGTTTTGGTTTTGGTTTTTTTTTAAGCATTTTATTGGAGATAAGAGTCTGACAGACTTTCCTTCCTCAGGCTGACTTTGAGCTGTGATCCTCAGATCCCAGTCTCTTGAGTAGCTAGGATTACAGGCATGAGCCACTGACACCTGGCTTGTTACAGTTTTTGTTGTTGTTGTTGTTTTTGTGGGGGAGGGTCGGTTGTGGGGCTTGAACTCTGGGCTTGGGCGCTGTCCCTCAGCTCTTCAGCTGAAGGTGAGCCCTCTACTGCTTGAGCCACAGTGCCACTTCCAGTTTTCTAGTGGTTTACTGGGGATAAGAGTCTCAAGAACTTTCCTGCCCGGGCTGGCTTTGAACTGTGATCCTCATATCTTAGCCCCCTGAGTAGTTAGGATTACAGGCGTGAGCCACCAGCTCCAGGCTTAGATTCCCACTTTCAACTCATCATCTTAAATCCTGTAAGAGGACTCGTGGTATTGGGAAACCACACACACACACACACACACACACACACAGAAAGGCTGACATACACATACAGACCTACACAGACACAGACACAGAAACACACAGGCACACACATACAGACACACACAGATACACGCTCACACACACAATCTATTAATACTGAGTGATGATTTTACCTGTGGTTTCAGGACCAAGTCACCTTCACAGTTCTGACTTTTGAAGAATCAATTCATTTTCTCAGAATCTTTATTTATTTGATATAGAACTTGATCATCTTGTCATCAACATGCTTTGAGGCTAAATAAATACTGTTTTGTAATCTCAAAGGGCAGTGACCTCTGTTCAATAGTAGATCATAGCCTCATTAAGACAGACCAAACAGGTTTATATCCTGATTTCACAGGGCAATATGAAAAGCCATAGGAGGTAGATGAGCAGCAGTCAACTGCTCCCTAGATTAAAAAAGATAATAAAAGAATCTTTGGATTCTTGAGAGGAGATACATAGTTTTAGGTAGTCTATTAGGCTAATAAAATAGAACCTTATTTGCCTGATGAAAATCAAGCCTTTCTTCTCAAATGGTTTCAGCTCCCTGCAGGAAGTACAGCAGAGAACCCTCTCTAGCCAACATCCCAACATTAATGTGTGAGCGCCCTCTGCTGAGTGTATGTTCCCTAAACAATCTAAAGCATTGGTGTGCTGCCCAACAGGCCATAAAGTTCTTAGAAGCGTAAGCCATGGTGAATTATTTGCAACGCTTTCTAAAAATAAGCTCATGGCTGCAATACAAAGTGAAATAGAAAGACAAAGAAAGGTAATTTGCTAAGAAGAGATTCAGTTTTTTTTATTTCCTAAGCATGACTACTGGTCTGGCAGTTCCGTACCATCACCACAACGACAATGCCAGATGCTTGCGAGCACCTGTTCTCATACTCACCCAAGTTCCAGGCTTTGGCTCTTCATAGCTGCAATTGTATCATTTGTTCATTTGTCTGGTTAAGGCAATCTTCCCCTGTTGAGCATTAACTTTCTATAGAGGCGAACTTGTCTGTGCTCATAACCACAGTAGATGCTAAGAAACCTTTGTTTAGTGGATGATGGTGTGTCAAAGGTCAGCATTTACTCATAGTATTGCTTGGTGTTGTGGCTCAATTACAGAATGATTTGGTGCTAATCACCTGGAACCAGATATGAGTGAGTGGAAATATAGAGAAGAGAGTACTAAGGAAGGCATGATGGTAGAGGTGTGGAATTCATTCTCAGCCTTCAAATGGAGAAGGCTTGAAGTTAGACAAGGAAACAAGTGTAGTGCAAGGTACGGAATATGTGATGGTTGGAAGTAAAAAGCCCAGAGCCTGCCTTCATGAGACTTATAATTTGATGGTCATACAAATAACACACAAAATTGCAGTTGTGACCTCTCCTGCATACAGGCCCTCGCCTGTCAAAGGAGCAGATAGTAGAGTGATCCAACCTTACAGGAACTTGGGAAGCTTTCTCCCAGCTGAGATCAAAGGGAAGATGGGAGATGCCAGGTAGAGAAGGCGGGGATGGAGATACAAAGGTCTGCAGGCATCACCTGGTATGAGCAGAGAGTGAGAGAGCAGGCCGAAGGTGGACCACACAGCATCTCGTGATGGAGCAATGTCTGGGTAAAACAGGAAAGCAGCTTTCATGGTTTTTATTGTGTTTGCCAAATCCCACATTATTGTTGTTCTTTGCCCCTACTTTCCCACATTTATGAGCCGGTCTGCAATGAGTATTACCTTAATAGTCAGAAAATAAAACATCTATGAGAGAGAAAGGTGATGTTGCGCACTGCCCGTGGCCTGCCTGCCTTCCCCACTTGCCCTCTTCTTGGCCAAGTTTACAGAATATTGCCAGCGCTGTCTTGCTTTCAGGACTGACTCTGGGTGCAGGCCTCAGCCTGGCACAGGTGAAGACCATCCTAGCCGACGTGGTCACCAAGCTCCCAGAGGAGAAGACACAGACGTACCGCGCTCTGCTGAAACACCTACGAACCCTGGCTGGGCCACAGATCAGGAACATGGCAGTAGGTTCTCCATGCCCCCGTGTGGGTGGTGCCCGTAGGAAGGAAAAGCTGAATCGTTCACTGTTCATTCCATTTCCTGCTGTATTCATCCTGCTGCATTTTCACATGGCTAGCTCGTGGGTTACCTGATTTCATACTTTTGTGGCATACGCTACTTCAGTGATCAGGTTGGGCTGGGAGATGCCCACCTACTCAGGACTTGACTTTTGTCTGCAGTTGCTACCGCAGATCTATCTTGTTGAGAAAGGTCTTTTTTTTTTTTTTTTTGGTCAGTCCTGGGGCTTGAACTAATGGCCTGAGTGCTATCCCTGAGCCTCCTTGTGCTCAAGGTTAGTGCTCTACCACTTGAGCCACAACCCCACTTCTGACTTTTTCTGAGTAGTTTATTGGAGATAAGAGTCTCATAGACTTTACTGCTGGGGCTGGCTCTGAACCAAGATCTTCAGATCTCACCCATCTGAGTAGCTAGGATTATAGGCGTGAGCCCCCAGCTCCCAGAAAGGTCTATATTCTATCCTTCAAATGGGACTTTTGACTGGTTATCTTTTAAAGATAACTAATAGGTTTATTGAAAATAACTGGCCTGGTAACTCATGTATGAGAGTCACCCAATTTACTTGACAGTTTTTGTAATACTATATTACAATTGTAGCATACCTACCTACCTACTTATTGAAATATTAACTGTAAATAATAGAGAAATAAAATATAAACTATTAATAATATACATTGTTTTCCTTGTTAACTGTTAATATCTCTGTGTAAATGAGTTATTAGGAGCCAGGGATATGACTCAATGACCAAGCACTTGCCTACCCATGTGCGAGTCCTTGGATTGGGTTGCCAGCAAGACAAGAACAACAGAACTGCTACAGTATTTCTGTGGCCCAGCTAAAATCCTCTTCTTTAATGAATGTGTTTCTGTGTTTCTCTGTGTTTCTGCTGGCCTCTTCTAGATTCTATGACATGCACATTTAGGCTATATGATTTAGACTAATTGTTCTACCTGTAGATGAGGCTCTTTAGCAAGCCAAGGTAATCTCAGTCCTGTACAATTCATTGTTGGAAGTTAATTCACAACTAATGAAATCTTCATCAATGACATTTCCCAAGACATAACTTCCCTAGATCACAGAGTAGTTACTGTGTGTGGCTCACAGATCACATCTCTGGTGGCTTGTGTCACATCTGCCTTTCTCATGGCCATTGCATGAGGGTGGTTTCAATAGGGCCTAGCTGGGGAACACCAGTTCTTCCTATCTTGCAAGTGTTGGTATCTCAGGAATGCTGCCTGGTCCTTCTTCCAAACACTGCTTCAGCAACTTCCTGACCCCCTACGCTTCAGCCTCCCATACTCCCCATGCACACTCTAATGCCCTGCCCTGCCACTGTGAGTCAGGAAGAGCAGAGGTTACTCTGCATCACCATTTCTTGTCAGTTACCACACAAGCTACCCATGAATACTTTCATTCACAGAATTCATTCTCCATCCATTGACAGTTCTCCATCCATTAGAATTCCTCTTCTACATAGATCTGGGAAGAGGGTGGTATTGAAGATGAGTCATTCCTAGAAAACACTTTAAGACGTGCAAGACACTCTCTCCAGCAGGATGATGTTTTAATCTAATTACTGAATTAGGCTGAAAAATGTGTCATCTGTGTTGAATTCAATATTCGCAAAGATAACACCCAAGTTGCTTATTAATCTTTCTTTCAGTCCTTAGGTGGTCATATTGTTAGCAGACAGCCAATCTCTGATCTCAACCCCATATTAGGGGTGGGCAAATGCATTCTCAATGTTGCTTCCAAAGGTGAGCTACTGAATTCTCTTATTGGGGGTAATGCCAGCTTCATCCTAACTGAACAGACCATGGGGTAATATAAATCCTTGCGTGTGTTGTTGGATGTTAGTGTGTACTAGAGCACAGAGGTTCATTTTAGTGACAGTTTTGTTTTAGTAGCTTTGTGACCTAGAGTATGTCATGCATTTATGTGGTTAGGTCCTTAAGAGACCTCTTCCTCTTCTCCTCCTCCTCTTCCTTTTCTCTCCTCTCTCCTCTTCTTCCTTCTTCTTTTTTTTTGTGATACAATGATTTGAACTCAGGGCTTCATGCTTCTTAGGCAGGATCTCTGCCACTTGAGGTATGTTCCCAACCTCCTTTTGCTTTAATTATTTTTTAAGGTAAAATTTCATTTTGTTCCCTGCTGACTTCAGACTATAATCCTTCCCCCGAGTTTCTGATATGGCAATCATGCTCCACCATGTCTGGCTTATTTTTTAAAATTATAATTAAATTAACTAATTAATTTTGTTGGTCGTGGGGCCTGAACTCTGGGCCTGGGTGCTGTCCCTTAGTCTTCAGCTCAAGGCTAGTGCTCCACCACTTGAGCCACAGTGCCCCTTCTGGCTTTTTCTGCTTATGTGGTGCTGAGGAATCGAACCCAGGACTTCATGCAAGGCAAGCACTCTACCATTGAGCCACCTTCCCAGCCCCAACATCTGGCTTATTTGTTAAGGAGGATCTTTGCTAACTTTATACCTGAGCTGATCTTAAAGTACTATTCTCTCAAATTCTGTCTGCTGAGTAGCTGGGATTATAGACATGAGCCATGCCTGATTTTTTTATACTTCATTACTCTAAAGGAAAAAAGTTAACTTTATTTCTCAGTCTCACTTTGCAGAAAGTGACAATCCTGTAATCATGTGATTCATTACCCTGGCAAGCAATTATCATCCTGAGGCTATTCGGATGTCCATGAAGAGTTAAACATTGTTGGATCAAAAAATGCTTCTATCAATTAGATATAGGCTTTGTATCAGATGTATCTGCCACTCGGGAAATTACAGAGTTCTTAGGAGCTGTGTATCAGCAGCTGGGACCAAAACCCAAATATTAGATCAAACAATTCTCCCAGTTTTGCTGTCTACAAGAGTTTTGGAAACTATGTCAGAAACTCTATGTCAGAGACCAGTGTATAGATATGTACATAAAATCACAGGACCCTTTCTAATATCATAGAACTCTTTTTGGGAAAATTTATAAATATAGTGGAATCCATACCATAAACTATATCTCGTGGTATAAGGGCTTATTGAATTTAAAAACCTGATTTTTTTTAAATTATTTATTTATTTTTTATTGTGCAAATACTGTACAGAGGGGTTACAATTACATGGGCAAGATAATGAGTACATTTCTTATCAAGCATTGTAGCCTCCTCCTTT